AAAACAAATTAAAACCAGGTCTGAGAGCCACAGATTAAAATCACCCACCTTTGGCTTGGTTGACAATTTCTATCCACTAGGCCTACAGAGCTCTCTCGTTGTTGTAATAATAGATTCAAATTAAGTGAGAGGATTTCATAATATTGTCACTGCCAAGAAACATTCTGAAATACTATTAAAAACATATTTTACTTAAAAGCTTTGAGAGGCAAGATTTTATTGTCATTATATTGTTTGTTTTTACTGTTTTGTCTGGATTACACAAAATGACAGTTACATTTGACTACATTTGACAGAAAGACTAGTTTTCACTGTTCCTATGTGCTGTCGAGTCGCCTGCAGCTTATAACAACCCTATGTATAACAGCCCTATATCAATCTTATTGTCTCTGACACACCTATCTCCATTAGCTAGTGACCATCTCATTGAGGGTCTTCCTCTCTTGCACTGTCCCTCCACCCTCTCAAGAATGATGTCCCTCTCCAAGGACTGGTCCAACCTTGCAACATATCCAAAGTATGTCAGACAAAACTTCAGAACCCTTGCCTCCAAGGAGCAACCTGGCTTCACCCTCTCCAGGATGAACTTGTTTGTTCTCTTAGCAGTCCCTGGTATACTCAGCACTCTTATCCAGCACCACAGCTCAAAGGCATCAGCTCTTCTCCTTCTATCATCCCTAGTCATTGTCCAGTTCTCTGATACATAGCAAGTAATTGCAAAGACCAGTTTTTTTCCTCTTTCCAAGGAAGTGATTTTTTTTAGAAGTTGAAACAATGTGTAAACCCTAGAAATAGGTTTTTCATTTTAAAGTTAAAAGAAAACTGAAATTTAAAGATTATATATATATATATATATATATATATATATATATATATATATATTGAGGAAGACAAAATACATTTAATTTCAATGTGTGCAGATAAGATGAATAAAAATTTCCTGCAATTTTAGTTCTTATTTCCTCTTTCGTTTATTTTTCTTAATAATGTGCCGTTGTTCTCCTGACAGTGTATGGAGGATGTCACTTTTTTTTTCTTTTGTCTCATTCTCCATAAATATATTCCAACAAAGTTAGACCATGGTAACAAATAACTTGACCTAAATAAAGGGTTTATAGGCTACTAATTTTGTTGATTTATATTTTTCTATATAGCTATTCTATTCTACATACTCATCTATATTTGGACAGCAAATAAATTTATTTTGTTTGCTTGTATTTTTTAAGTCTTTGTAATAATTAAGCTAATATATATCTATCAGAACAGAGAAAGCATGGCTTAAAATAAAGAAAAATGTACAACCGAGCTGTATTCTCTCTATGACTATATGTAGAGAAAATAATTTGACAAAAGGGATTGTAAGAAGAAGAATGTGGCCTCAGAATTAGGGAAAGGCTCATCAACAACCTGCGGTACACAGATGATGTAACTTTATTTTCCAATAATGAAGACCTGAGCACTTATCACAGAAGTCCAGAGAATAAAGGCTTCAGTGTGGATACAACCTTAACATCAAGAAAACAAAACTTCTCACCACTGGACCAATAGTCAACATTAGTAAACATGGAGCGAAGGTTGAGATGGTTGGTGATTTAATCTGACCAGAATGCATAATCAATACCCTCAGCAACAACCAGCAGAGACATTAAAAAAATGTTGTTTGGGGGGAAGACTGCAGCTGGGGACTTCTCAAATGTCCTGAAGAGCAAAAATGGCAATCTGAGACTGCAGCGTGCTTGATTCAAGCCGTGATCTTTTCAATTGCTTCCTATGCATCAGAAAGCCGGACACTGACTAAGGATGACCATAGAAGAAATGATGAATTGGTGTTATGGTACTGGAGAAGAGTACTGAATATTCCGAAAGAATAAACAAATATTTCATGTAGATATTACAGCCAGTGTGCTTTTAGAGGGTTGTTGTTAAGTGCTGTCAAGTCATAGATGACACATAGTGACTCTATGAACAATACTCCTGAACACTTGTATAACTTTCATGTTTCTCCACATTTATAAGAGTTTCTGGAGTTACGTGCTATGCATTGGAGAGTTGGACAGTGACTAAGGATGATAGAAGGAGAATTGATGCCTTTGAGCTGTGGTGCTGGAGAAGAGTGTTGAGTATACCATGGGCTGTTAGGAGAACAAACAGGTTTGTCCTGGATAGGGTTAAACCAGGCTTCCCCTTGGAGTCAAGGATTCTGAAGCTTCGCCTGACATATTTTGGGCATGTTGCAAGGAGGGAGTGGTCCTTTGAGAGGGACATCATGTTTGGGAGACTAGAGGGGCGGCGCAGGAGAGGATGACCCTTGATGAGATGGATCGACTCTGCGACTGGAGTGGTGGGAATGAGTGCATTTGTGAGGTTGGCACAGGATAGAACAGCATTTAGCGCTATTGTACATGGGGTCATTATGAGTCAAAAGCGACTCAATGGCACATAACAACAACAACAACCTTTAGTCAGAAGCAAGTCAGGTTTCCAGAGACACTAAAGTGCACGAGAGATAATTTTTCTCCTTTAGGGCAGTTGATGTAGTTGATCTTATGCCTTTGTGTTAGCAGAACAGCTCCTTATCTTAGAGGGTAGGACAGTGAAATTCTGTCTCACATATTTTGGGCAAATTTCTCAGAGAGGCTGGTCCCAGCAGAAAGACATCAAGTTTCAAAAGGTGGAGAAGTGAAAGAGAGGAAGACCCTTGACCAGATAGATTCATATAGTGGCTGAGCGATGGGCTAGATTATAGAGGAATAGTGAGGATGACACAGGATAGGGCAGACGTTGCACCTGTTGTTCATAAGGACACTATGAGTCGTGGTCAGCTTGATGGCCCCAACAACAGCAACAATAACAGCAACAACAACAGCAGCGGCAATCATTCTTGAGAAAGTTATGAGAGCACAGGGAAGAAAGGGCTTTCAGAACGGTTCTCTTTTATTGAAACATTTGGAAGACTTTTGCGAAAGAATACCTAAGTCAAGCAATTGACAAGATAAAATATACAGTTAAAGCATAAAAATGCCCAGAAGCACTGGAGATATTAAGATGAATAGTAAATGAATGTATAATAAATTGGTGTCGTTTAACAAATCAGGTACTTATAAACACATCAAGGGATATAATTGTCTTTGAATTTTAAAGTTATTTATTCTTTTTTATATTTCATTTTCCTTTTGTGTTAACTATTCAAATTCAACAATTTCTATGTCATACACAATTCAGTGACACTGGTTACATTCTTTAAACAGTAGAAACATCCCCACTATACTTTTCCTGTACAATATTTATCCATTAATAGAAACTTCCTATCCCTAATTTTTCTATCCGATATTTGCAGTTGCTATTCAAACTTTGATCCCACTGTCTGTTATTGTTAGGTGTCATCAAGCTGACTATGCCTCATCGTGACACTATGAGTAACAGATTCAAACCTCGTTCTGTCCTGCACCATTCTCGGAAGTCTCTCAATCCCAGGTCCATGGTAGTAGTCACTATGTCAGCCCAACTTGTTGAGGGTTTTCCTTTCTTTTCTGAACCTCTAGCTTCTGCAGTCTGATGTCTCCTCAAGGATTGATCCTTAGGAAGATGTGGCCAACACATTTGAAGCAAAGCTTCACCCTCCTTGCCTCTAAGGAACATGACGGTTGCACTTCCTTCAAGATGAACCGATTTTGTTCTTTGGACAGCCATAGTATTTTCTACACTTTGCAATAACGCTACAATTCAAAGGCATCAGTTCTTCTTTGGTCTTCTTTATTAATTATCCAACTTTTAAAGGCAGATGTGGAGCAATTGAAAATACCATGACTTGGATCAGATGAACATAAGTTTTTAAACTAACATACTTGCTCTTTAGCACTTTGAAGACGTCCTTAGCAGCAGATTTCCCATTTAGATAGTGAAAAACTTTATCCAGTCTTGCACTGCACTGTAGATCTATCTTCTTCTCCTCCAAATGATGTTTTCTTCATAAACATATGATTCTGAGAATTAAATACACATGCTCTATTTTCCAAAATTTCAAAATGTTTTTTGTTTCTCTTTAATCTTAGCTATTCTTGAAGTTGGTAAATGAACATTAAAATATCCTTCTGTTGTGTTTCAACAGAAACATGGCCAAAGAATTTAGAAGATGAGTACATTTTTTTAAAAAACTCACCAAACAACAAAACCAAACACTTTGTTTAAAAAAATGCAGATTGCTTCAAAGACAAGTTATAAAATAAAACCTTGAAATGCTAAGTTCAATTGACCTTAAAGTGTTAAAGAATTTTGATATCTAGGTTAAAATTTATCATCAGAGAAAGCTTTGATGGCCTAGTGGCAAGAAGCTGTACTGCAATCCCGGTGGGGGATGGTTCAAATCCACCAGATCCTCGGCTGGAGAAGGAAGGGCAATCTCTCTCTGTGCCACTTGGATCTGACTTGACAGTACACAATAAGTGAAGGGAAAAGAAAATAAAAGAATAAAATAACAAATATATTATCAAAGAAGTTTGCTATTTATGTAATATACCTAATATTAAAATAATTAGATGCCATAAAGTATCAGTTGCAGTTTTTTTGTGGATACTAGTAAGTTTGCATGGCTCTTTGCACAAGTAACTTCTTCTCAAACCAAAGAGTTCCAATTCAGCAACTTCAGGATGAAATCTTAGGGAAATAATGAATGAAGAGATGCCAGCTTGTGTGGACATTACATAATAGTTATAAGTAAATGTTTTAACTCCATATGTGACTATGAAGAAATAATCAACAAAATTATTCTGACACACTTATCAAGCTCAGACACAAAGCAAGACTGTAAACTTTCATCTTGCAAGCACATTATACTAAAAAGCCACCAATTTATGCGTATTTGGATGTTATACTATAAAACATGTTGCTATATCGTATATATATATATATATATGCATATATGCATATATATATATATATATACACACACACACACAGAGATTGAATTTAATTGCTGAATATAACATCATACACCTAATTCATTACATGCGTTCTGAGGTAACTTTGAGACTCCATAATCTTTTCATTGCATTTTTTACCTCTTTATTCCTTAATGTATAGATAAGTGGGTTGAGAAAGGGTGTTCCAATGGTATAAAATACTGCCACCATTTTGTCAATTGGGAAAGTGGTTGGTGGTCGTGTATATATGAATATACATGGACCAAAAAATAAGATGACTACAATAATGTGAGAAGTGCAGGTAGAAAGGGCTTTTCTCCTTGCTTCTGCACTGTGGCTTCTCAGTGAATATAAAATAATAATGTATGAGATCATCAAGAGCAAGAATCCACTTGAACAAACTACCCCACTATTGGACACCAACTGTATATTGATTATATAAGTGTCCATACAGGCAAGTTTTAACAAAGGTTGCAAATCACAACAATAATGATCAATCAAATTGGATCCACAAAAGGGCAGTCGCATGACAAGGGCATTCTGAGTTGTAGCGTGTATGAAGGAGCATATCCAGGCCAAAATAATCATGATGACGCAGACCTGTCTTCTCATAATGGTTGGATAATGCAGGGGCTTACAGATGGCCACATAGCGATCAGCAGCCATCAGCATGAGGACTAAGATCTCCATGCAGCCAAACAAATGCATTGCAAAGACTTGTGTCATGCATTCATTGTAGGATATGGTTTTCTTTGCAGAGAGAGAATCTACAATTAGTCGAGGGGCTATGGAAGTTGAAAAGCAAGTATCAGCAATAGACAAATAAAATAAGAAGAAGTACATGGGACTCCCAAGAGTCCGGCTACATTTAATGGTCACAATAATGAGGAAATTCCCTACGACAGTTGCAGTGTAGAAAATGAAAAAGATGATAAACACCATTTTCTGTCTCATTGGATCCTGTGTCAGTCCTAACAGTATGAAATCAGTTACACTCTTGTTTTGCAGCATTGTCGTAGTCAATACAGGAAAATGATTAGAAATACTTCATTTAGAAGGAGAAAAGCAAGAATTTTGCAAGAAGGTGGTGATATTTTACATATAAAACCTCAGTTTGGTCATAGAATATCTCTCCACAAGGGGTAGCTGCTTAGTTTTACCTATATTAACTTTTATGATTACAGTTGAATTATTTTTTTTAAAAAAATTTCTAGTTGAATTCTTAATACTTCTCTATCTTGTTGCATAGGTTTAATCAGCACATGATAAAACAGCAGATGACTATAATTATAATTAACAATAAATGTTAATGTTAGTATTCTAGCATGTATATATAGTTTCCCGAGTAAACTTAGTTTCTCCACTTTTCAATAAACACAGGAATATTAGAGGTAGAATGTTACAAAAATAGAAATTTGTGTCTAAGGTATTTGAGTGATTTCAAAGTTAACAAGTCAAGGAACACGTTGAGAAAATATTTCCATGATGTGATGTATTAATCTTCTAAAAGATAATTTCTTAAGAAGCACAAAAAGATTCAAGGTATATGGCAAAGGAAAAACAGGAAGAACAAAAGCCATGTATCAGAGGATTTCCCAAAATAATAGTTCCAGCTTATACATTAGATCTTCAAAATGTTCAAAAAACTCCCAGCCACAGCAGAAAGTTTTCAATAGAAATTTTGTTGTGTGTCCAGAAGTGTCTCATATCACAGCTTCAAGTAAAAAAGTAGAAATAGAAAGAAAACCAGTATTCGTTAATAAGCAGGAGTGGCATCCACTTCCTAAACAACATGCCTCCAGAAACTTCTATGCCCTTTGATAAATATTGACCGTTGTAGAGGGCTTCGGGCTTTTTGTTCATAGGGTCACTATGGGTCGTGCTTGACTCGAAGGCAACCAACAACAACAACAACTATATAACTACCTGACCCATGCCAGTGTATTTTCAATATCTGAAAAGTGAACAATGAATTATTATATTGGTGAAGAATATTGAGTATATCACTGCCTGCCAGAAGAATAAACAACTGTATTTTGGGAAAATAAAGTAAAAAGCTCCTTCTAATGAGCATTGTGAGATACTGTCTCATTTACTTTGGACACATCTTCTAGAGAGAGTAATCATAAGAGAAGCACATGATGGACTAGAAAGAGGAATAATAACCAAGAAATGAATTGGCACAGTAGTAGCAATGGGTTCAATTATATTAATATGAAGGTGATAAAGGAACAGATAACAATTTAGTTTTGTGTCCATAGAGTTACTATGAATCAGAACTGATTTGATGGAACCTAACAACAGGAACAACATGTATGAGAAATTCTACATCAATTAATATCTGTATGTTATTATATTCATCCCCTAGAGAACTGTAGTCACAAGGCAAATAAGATCCAAGCAAATCAAAGATAGTCAAAACACACACTACGGACAAAATATGAGAAAAGATCAGAATAAATAAACAATTGGCTAAAGAGTCAATTTTAAAAGACTTTCTTGTATAACAAATACAATATATGAATGGATCTTAATTGGTTACAGTTAAAGACATTAAAACAAAAGTTTCAACTAAATGTCTTTTTCAACTTTCATATTAGGAAAGTGACTTGGGAGTGTATGTTTATTAATATATGTTGTTGTTTGTAGTCAGAACCAACCCCTATCTGACTCTTCAGCAGGTTTTCAGAGGAAGTTAATCGCACAGAAGGAGACTGCCTGTTCTTCTCCCTTGGAACAGCTGATGGATTCGAACTGTGTTCTTTAGGAATTGCAGCACTGTTTCTTACCACTAGGACACCAGAGCTCCCTTTGGCAGAGTCTATAGCAAAATTTTCAATACTAACTCAAAGGTTGTATGTTTCTAGCAGATCCAATCCACCAAGAGCTTCTCAGGAGAAATATGGGTCATCTCCTCATACTGGGACTTCAGTCTCAGAAGCATGATGGAAGGTTACTATGCTTTGAAATCAATTAGGAGCAAAGAGGGTTTTATTGTTTTGTTTTGTTTTTATTTAACCATATCTACCACATTATCACACTATCATATAACTTGAGGATTACATACAATCTGGGAAATTTTCCAAAAACTACATTTTATAGAAAACTCGTCTGTATGTAAAGTTAAAATTGTTTGCAATCTCTTTCAATTAAATAATATATGTGCATCTTTCTAAATACGCTGTATATTCTTATATGTCATTGTATGTTTTGTATATTATTCAATATGTGTACATTTGTCTCTTTTACACACAAACACACACACACACACACACACATCAGTGTTCCCTAAATTTGATTCCAAATCACAGCAACCCTATATAGCAGATTAGAAGTAAACTACTGTATTTCTTCGACTGAAATCCGTACAAGTGAAAAATCAGCAAATCTTTCCAAACTCAGAGGTGCTGAATGAATTTAAAATGTCAAATTTTCAATTAGTGGCCAAACACTTCAACTTGTGTCACTGGCTCTCTTTACATATAAGGAGCTCTTTTCATATGTTGTGCCACCATAATTATTTACATACATTTAGATAGGTGGGTGGGTAGGTGGGTGGGAGGGGGGGTGGATAGGTGGATAGGTAGATAGATGGATGGATAAATGGATGGATAAATGGATGGATGGATGGATGGATAGAAAGATGGATAGAAAGAGATAGATGATAGATTATAGTAGATAATAAATAATAGATAGATAGACAGATGATAGATAGATAGATAGAGAGAGAGAGAGAGAGAGAGAGAGAGAGAGAGAGATAAAACCTATCCACTGACATCTACTCATGTTGATACTCGATTGGGTTTTCAATGTTGTGAATCTTTACCGGAGGAGACTGTCCAACTTTCTTCCATAAACAAGTGCTGGATTGCTGTCACTGACATTATAGGTAGCAGATAGACAGTCTAGATAGATAGAAACTCCTGGTTTGTGCAATAGGTTAAGTGTTCAAATAATGGTTTAAAAATTGTACAAATACTCTGGAAGGCAGTTTGGCGCTTTGTCAAAAAGCTTAACATAGAAATTCCATATGATGCAGCTATTTCACTGCTTGGAATATACTCCAAAGAAATGAGAACTGAGGCTTAAATGGAGACTTGTACACTAATGTTCGTAGCAACATTATTCACCATCGCAAGAACATGGAAACAGCACAGGTGTCCCACCACAATCAAGTGGATTGAGAAATTATGGGACATTAATAAAATAAAACACTATGCAGCATGCAGGAACAATGATTTTGTAAATTATTACCTAGCTTGGGAGGGACTGGAGAGCATTATGCTGAGTGAACTCAGTTCCACAAGGACGAATATTGTATAAAACCATTATTGTAGAATGAGTATGTGGATCCAAGGGAGGGGCAGGGTGGAAGCAGAGGGATGAGGATGTGAGGATGTGTGGGGAGGGGAAATGGGGAATTAATCATGCGATTATACAATTTGATGGGTGGGTGAGGGAAGCTGGAGGAATGTGGTATGAAAAATATATTCAAATTTTGTAAATAATCTAGTATTTTTTTTCAAAGGTTGTTGATTAGAATTCTCCCAAGAAGCATTTCAGAAGACAACTTGGATATCTGCTTCTAAAAGGTCACAGCCTTAAGAATTCTGTGCAGATCAGTTTTACTGATACTTGTATCAGTTTTACTTGATACTTGTATTGTTCCGCGAGTAAGAACTGGCCCTATGGAAGCTAGCAACAGTAACACCACCACTCACAAAAACACTTCATAATCTGTGTACATTGGAATAATTTGCAGTATGAGTGGCACACATTATAGCAAAGCAACATAGTCATAGTAATTTTGATGAACTCACCACTGAATTACAGCATAGAAAAAAAGTGATGAAAAAATATTTTTTGAATGAGTAAACTAACTAAGGAGAATTTTCCACATGCAACCTTCTACTGTGCTTGGGTACTATTGACCGATAGCTGATTGTTCTGTGGGTTTTCAGACTCATTCACACAGGAGGGGATAGCCTTTCTCAGACAGAGCAATTGGTGGAGTCCACACATTTGGGCTGACAGTGTAACACCTTACCACTAAGCCACCAGAGCTCACATTCCATAGAGTCCCATTACTCTGCACCCAGTGTCTCTGAGTAGATATAAAGACTACAGTATCTTCTGCCCACAGCAAAATAATCACCTTCATAAAACTTCTCTGCACTTGAGTTATTTTTATTACTTTTGTCCCTCCCCCAACCTACCAACATTCTTTTCTCCTAGTGCTCATGACTTTTGTGTATCTTTTCTTCCCATATGCACTATTTTTTTAGCTTCTTGTAAATAGCTGATTTTGTTACTAAATATTTCAGTAAAATGGAAAACACATACCATGTTTTGTTTCTTTTGCTTTAGATCAGGAGGGACAGTTTGTTGAAGAAGACACATCCTACAGAGATAATCAGAGAAAAAAAGGAAGACCGCCAAAAAGATAAGATTTTCCCAGTGACTTCAGCAATGGGTTTAAACACTGGGAATTATGGGAAGGTGGGAGATTGGACAAGATTTCTGCTTTGCTCTACATAATGTATGTAGGGCTGCTATGAATAGGAGTAGATTCAATGGCACCTTATAAAAACATTTTTAAATTACATATCACTCCTACTAAAAACTTTCTACCCTTCCAGAAGTGACTTCTATGTATTACATATTTAGTATGAAGACACGGAGAAGGCTTTTTTTTTTCATCTAGCACTAAACACAACTAAATTAGTCTTAAACAAAAATCTTACCACTTTAATGTACAGGTTATTATTCAGCTGCCCTTTTCTTTTGAAGTTTTTGAAGCCATGTATTCAAGTGAAGGAACTAGAAGAATGCTTTACAATTCTACGTCACAAAGTTTTTTAAGGTCTTACGTGTCTACCAGAAGACAGTCTATGTTGGTCACAGTCCCACTCCAGATACTCTGAAATCCATCATAGCACAAGATTTTGACTGTGAAATGCTTCCCTTTTAACTTCCCTGGAGGAATATTTAACATGAATGACGTAAAACTG